GAATCAAAACAGTCTTTATTGGAAAAGACAATGCTTTTTCTCACCATTGTAACAGATGAATGGATGTTCCACTGAGCAGTTGGAATACCACTGTCCACTCACTGAAAGGCTTTGACAAAAATAGGAAACTAAGAAAGGTTCACTTTGAATTTGTTTTTTCCATTTCCCGGAGTCATCATCATTCTGAGATGCAGAACGCCGTTGTAAATGAGTGTAAACACCAATCCAGACCTCAGAGTTGTGACCAGCAGATGAAACTGTATCGATAAACTGGTTCATTTCTTCACTGTTTTCAATGCAGGCCAGGCCTACGTAGTTCTTTCTGCAGTAGCTCTGAGCCTCATACCAAGTAAAAGACTTATTAACAAAGTGGTACAGACGGCATTTGGAGAGGACGAGCCACCCTGTGAGGAAAATATGAATCATGAACATCTCTCAACATGTAAGCTGGCTGTATTACAGCATATCAGAGCAATAAGGACTGGCAAAGGGAGACAAAAGAATTCACTGACCTGAGAGATACAAGACACCCAGCAGGATCTTCACAATCATCTTGCTGCTCTGTGGACTGGAAGAGGAAAGTCTGGCTATGTAACCAAAATGTAGGTACATTGTTATCATCCTCTTTCTGCGAAATGCAATTTTTCTGTTTGACTATGCAAAATGTGTTACAGGAATTCCTTTATTGAAATATTTACTTAACCAAATATTTAGTCAACTTGGTTTGTTGAAAAATGTTCAAAGTTCATATATGAAGCTTAAAGTAAATAAAAGATTTTAAAGTAGCGTGCCTGATGTTTTTAATTTCTCTGTGTTTATTTCCAACAGTACAGTAATTTGTCTTTAAATTTAAAACAATTGAATGCATTTTAGTACCTGTTGTAATAATACTGCTGCAGAGCTAATCTGCTTGATTTTATTACTGTTCCAGAGCCTTAGTGCCCCAGGCTGAAAGTATATGTCCCCTTTTGTCTTCAGACTTACATAAAGGACAACTAATAGATTTTGAGCTTGTGAGTGAAAATAGCAAGAAGCAGCATGTTTAAAAAAGAGTTGAGGGATGTAATCTAGAACTTGTCCATTCAGAGACTTGAACGCAATTTTGAGAATTTTAAAAGGAAATCTAAAATCACCTTGGAGTCAGTGTTAAGAAAATAAAATAGAGGTAATCACTTGTGTGGTTTAAAAAAAAGGTAATTACAGTTACAATAATCTAGGTGTGATGATACAAATGCATGAGATTTTTTTCTAGTTCAGAAGAGGAGAAATCTAGGTCAACCGTGATTATCAACTTATGCCACTACTGACTGATATTATAAAAACAGTTTTAGAAGCTCATATTCCACTGATCGTCAGTGATTTTCTCTTTTCTTACACCAGTACCTCAGATTGTCATGGTCGTGAGTCTGAGGACTCGGTGTTTTGTGTTTCTTTATATTCTTCTATATTCTTGTTTATTCTGCCTTGTCTTTTGTTTAGGTTTGCTATGTGTTAGTGTTTTTGTTTCATGCCTGCCTGTGTTCCCTCTGTCTGTCCATGGTGTTATTGTGTCTGCTCATGAGTCTGCCTGTCAAGTTCAGTGTCCTGTCTGGTTCTCTGT